CCCCCCCCCATGTCGAGGATGGAGACCACCGGGTGGTGGCACCGCCTCTTTGTCACCTCCCCCCCCGTGTCCCTCCCCCCCCAGGTGCCACCTCGGTGTCCCCGTCCCCGACACGGGGTGGGGGGGACACGGGGGACAGGGGGACACGGGGACAGAGGGACACGGGGGACAGGGGGACACGGGGACAGAGGGACACGGGGACAGAGGGACATGGAGGACAGGGGGACACGGGGGACAGGGGGACACGGGGACAGAGGCACACGGGGACAGAGGGACACGGGGTGGGGGGGACACGGGGACAGAGGGGCACGGGGACAGAGGGACACGGGGACACGGGGGTGCGGTGCGAGGGATGGAGGGGGTGGGGACAGCGTGACCTCAGGGGGAACCTCCTGTCCCCATCCCTGTCCTGTCCCCATTCCTGTCCTGTCCCCGTCCTGTCCCCAACACTGTCCTGTCCCCGTCCCTGTCCTGTCCCCAACACTGTCCCCATCCCTGTCCACTTCTTGTCCCCATCCTCGTCTTGTCCCTGTCCTGTCCCCAACCCTGTCCTGTCCCCAACCCTGTCCCTGTCCCCATCCTTGTCCACTCCTTGTCCCCATCCTTGTCCCATTCCCATCCCCGTCCTGTCCCCAACACTGTCCACTCCTTGTCCCATCCCTGTCCCCATCACTATCCCCTCTCTGTCCCTGTCCTTGTCCCCATCCCTGTCTCATCCCTGTCCCATCTCTCTCCACTCCTTGTCCCACCCCTGTCCCATTCCTGTCCCCATCCTTGTCCCCTTCACCATCCCCTCTCTGTCCCTGTCCTTGTCCCCATCCCTGTCTCATCCCTGTCCCATCTCTCTCCACTTCTTGTCCCACCCCTGTCCCATCCCTGTCCCCACCCCTGTCCCATTCCTGTCCCCATCCTTGTCCCCTTCACCATCCCCTCTCTGTCCCTGTCCCACTTCTTGTCCCCACCCCTGTCCCCATCCCTGTCCCCATCTTCATCCCCATCCTTGTCCCATCCCCATCCCTGTCTCCTGTCCCCGTCCCCGTCCTTGTCCTGTCCCTGCCCCATCCCTGTACCATCCTCATCCCTGTCCCATTCCTGTCCCCGTCCCTGCCCCATCCCTGTCCCTGTCCCTGTCCCCGTCCCCGTCCCTGTCCTGTCCCTGCCCCATCCCTGTACCATCCTCATCCCTGTCCCATTCCTGTCCCCATCCTTGTCCCATCCCTGTCCCTGTCCCTGTCCCCGTCCCCGTCCCTGCCCCATCCCTGTACCATCCTCATCCCTGTGCCTGTCCTGTCCCCATCCTTGTCCCATCCCCGTCCCTGCCCCATCCCTGTCCCTGTCCCTGTCCTGTCCCTGCCCCATCCCTGTACCATCCTCATCCCTGTCCCATTCCTGTCCCCGTCCCTGCCCCATCCCTGTCCCCTGTCCCCGTCCCCGTCCCTGTCCCCGTCCCCGTCCCTGTCCTGTCCCTGTACCATCCTCATCCCTGTGCCTGTCCTGTCCCCATCCTTGTCCCATCCCCGTCCCTGTCCTGTCCCTGTCCTGTCCCTGCCCCATCCTCATCTCTGACCCCTGTCCTTGTCCCCATCCCCATCCCTGTCCCCATCCCTGTCCCCGTCCCCTCCTCCACGTGCCTTTCCCTCTGGCCCCGCCCCTTTCCCGCCCCCTCCCCGCCAATCACAGCGCGGCGAGCGCCCCTCCCGCCCTTTTTCGCCAATCAGAACGCGCGGGAGGCGTGGCCAGAGGGGCGATGACATCATCTCCATTCAAATCACGCCCCTTTCACCCCACCCCTGCTCGGCCTCTTGGGGCAGCGAAGATTGACATCCCTATTGACCAATAGCAGAGCCGCGCGCAGCGGGAGCGTTTCCCATTGGCTGAGAGCTCTCAGGGGCGGGGCCAGCTGCCGCTGTCGCTCCGCGGGGTCCGGGGGGGATTTGGGGGGACACGGCGGGGGTGGGGGAGGGGATGACACCCGCAGGGGCTGCTGGGAGGGTTGGGGACCCCTGAGGGACATCCCGGGGGGGGGGGCGATCCCCCCAAAAGGTGATGGGACAGTGGCGACCCCCCAAGAGGGGACACAGGGGACCCCCAGGGCCATTGGAGACGCCCGGGGAGGGGACATTGGGGACCCCCAGCACCCCGGGAACCCCCAAGGAGGGGACACTGAGGACCCCCAGGGCCATTGGTGACACTGAGGACCCCCAAAGAGGGGGCACTTCGGAACCCAAGCACCCTGGGGACATTGGGGACCCCCAGGGAGGGGCCATCGGGGACCCCCGGGGACATTGGGGACCCCCGGGGAGGGGACACTGGGGACCCCCGGGGCCATTTGGGACATTGGGGACCCCCAGGGAGGGGCCATCGGGGACCCCCGGGGACATTGGGGACCCCCAGGACCATTGGGGACCCCCGGGGAGGGGACATTGGGGGGGCCCGGGGCCATTGGGGACCCCCGGGGCCATTTGGGCCATTGGGGACCCCCAAGGAGGGGACATTGGGGACCCCCGGGGCCACGGTGGCCAGCGGCGGGAGGTGCCAGCGGGCAGGACACGTGTCCGGGAGGTACAAAGCTTTATTGGGGAGGGGGCGGCGGGGGTCCCTAGGCGGGGGACACGGAGGAGTTGGAGACCGAGGAGACCTCGGTGCGCGAGGTGGAGACCTCGGAGCCATCGTCCACCTTCTTGCCAAAGAGCTGCAGGATGCAGTTCCGGAACTGCGGGGACACCGGACACACGGACACACGGACAGGGGACACCGGACACACGGGGACACACGGACACACGGACAGGGGACACCGGACACACGGACACACGGACACACGGACAGGGGA